ATTCCGACTATTCATGCTGACATGAATACCAATTATATTGGGCTTACTTCTCCTCGAGTTAGGAGTGCGGATATGGCTCCTTCTGAGGTTGGACTTCCTGTTGACCGGGAAATTACCACTCCTCTGTCTGAACATATTGACCCGATTTCTCCTCGAGTTAGGAGAGCGGATCAGGCTTTTGAGGAGGTTAGTCATCCTGCTGTTCGGGAAGCTACCTCCCCTCCTCCTGAAACTACTAATCATTTTGAAGATGCTATGCTCCATCTTGCCTTGCTGTGGTGGCCTATGACATTCCTTAGGAGGAGGTTTCAGATATACTGAGGGAAGAATGGCAAGTTCAGAAATATCATAGGAAAAAAACTTAAAGGCCACAAAGAGTTAGAAAATCTCAAGATGGGAAATACATTGTCTGATGCAGATCATTATTATTCAGAGGGTGATCATGGACATACCCAGAGTAGATCTTCTAGAAAGGGTAAGTTGTTTATCCATGTTTAATGTCTTAACTTGGAATATCAGGGGAGTTGCGGATCCTTACTCCCTTGGTATACTTAAATTAATGACAAGGATTCATAAAGTTGGTATTTTCTCTATTTTGGAACCTATGGTATCTTTTCCAGATGTTAGCATTTTGGGTAAATTCAAACATTTTTCTTTCTTGAGTAATTGCTCTAATAAGATTTAGTTGTTTTGGCCGAAGCACATCACAGTTAATATTATTGCTGATGATAGAAAATTTGTGCATGTCTATTTCGCAATGGATGAGTTTTCGGGATGGCTGACATTCGTATATGCTGGTTCATCTACTTTTGCAAGATATGACCTTTCACACAAAATCTCTAGTATTGGAGCGTTAATCCAAGATAATTGGATGGTTGGCAGAGATTTTCTATGCATGATTCTGAGAAATTGGAAGGCGAGTAGACCCCGCCTTGATGGATATATTCAACTGGGCTATGGAAATTGCTAAACTTTCTACTTTGGGTTTTGTTGGTTCCAAGTTCACTTGAAAAAGGGGAAAACCTTTTGAACGTCTTGATAGGTGTCTTGCTAATCAGTCGTGGATTACCACTTATGCCTTCTCTCAAGTTCAGGTTCTTTGTAGTTCTGGGTTTGATCATAATCCCCTCCTCCTTTCCTTTGATTTTTTCAATAAGGTTTCTAAATATCACTTCAGATATTTGAATGTTTGGGCAAGACACGATTTTCTGAGTCTTGTTGCAACTAATTGGAGATGTGTTGAGGTGGGCAGTGCTTGGTTTGTACTTTGCAAGTTACATAAAAAGGTGGCATCAACGTTGAGAACATGAAACTGGGAAGTTTTTGGGGATGTCCATGCTAGGGTCACAAAGGTTGAACATAGGGTCACCATGTTATAGGCTCTTGATGAATCTTCTGTCGTTCTAGTTCCTCATCTTCAGGAAGCACATAAAGAGTTGTTGGAGGGTTCTCTTTGAGGGAATAGTTGTTGAAACAAAAAGCTGGGGAGATACACTTTACTTAAGATGATATAAATACAAAGTATTTTCATGCATGTATTAAACAACGTAGGGCTCGCAACACCATTATTAGAATTAAGAATGCTACTGGAAACTGGATAACTGGGGAGGAGTTAGGTGAGAATGTTGTTCTTTATTTCTCCAAGCTGTTTGAAGCGCGTGAGACCTCGGGCACTATTGAGGCTCATCTTTTTAGTGATGTAAGACGGTAAACGGAGGAGCTAGATCTCTGTGGCATTCCTACGGGTGAGGAGATATTTACTGTGCTCTCGGAAATTAATTGCAATAAAGTCCCTGGTCTGGATGACTTTAATTCTGATTTTTACATTAAATGCTGGAGTTTTATGAAGAGAGCAGTTTTGGAAGCCATTCAAAGTTAACTACTTCTCTGCTGCCACTCTTGTCCTCATCCCTAAATTAACTCAAAAAACTTCTTGGGAGCATTTTAGACCTATATCTCTTACTTCTTTTGTTACGAAAGTTATTAATAAACCTCATCTTCATCATTTAATATCTCTGAATCAATTTGCTTTCATCCAACGCCGGGGGATTTCCGATAATATTATGTTGGCTCAAGAACTAATTTATGATATTTACAAGAGATGCAGAGGTGGCAACTTTGTTACTAAACTGGATATCCGTAAGACATATGACTCTTTAAGATGGGATTTTGTTCTTGCTGCCCTTAAAGTGAGAGGTTTTATACCTGATTTCTGTAAGCTAGTCCACACTTGGCTTCACTGTAATAAATATATCATCCTCGTTAACGGTAATTCTCATGGTCTTTTTAGTGTTGGTTGTGGGATTAAGCAGGGTGCCCCTTATCCCCTACTATCTTCATCCTGGTTTTTGATTGCTTCTCCCGATTGATTAATAATCTCTATAGTAAAGTACCTAGTTTGCACCACCCCCATAAATCAAAGGTATTGGTCACCCATTTGACATATATTGATAATGTTATTTTATTTTTTAATGCCAGCAAACAAGCAATCAAGAAAATATATCAATTACTGGAGGACTTCCAGTCGGTTTCTGGGCTTATTTTTAGCGCAAATAAATGTCACTTGTATATGGGCAACACCGTTAATAGGGGAAATGCTAGTTGGGTTGCCAATTTCACTGGTTTTACTCTCATTGCTCTTCCGCTAAAATACCTGGGGGTCAATTTACTTAAGGGTAGGAGAAGGCAAACTCATTTAGATGGGTTGTGGAAAAGGTTAGGAAAACAATCCTTGATTGAAAAA